TCTCATCTCCTCTCAGCCGCTTTGGTGTCAGACCTGGACCAGAAGCCACCTGGCACCGCCGTCATGGTTTGTGCAGATGCTGTTGGCTCCTCCAGCACCAGGGCTTGCTAGACATGTTCCATGTCCCTGTCCCTGTGGTGGAGCCTGGGGCTGTCGGTTGGCTGAAACATCCTGCTGCTCCTTACGAGGTGCTCAGGGCAGGGCCAGGGTTAGTGGGGGAGTGAGCACCCCTCACTCATGCAGAACCCCTGACCTCTCTGCCTCCCTCTGAGGAGCCCTGGGGCAGGTGCCCTGGGATCACAAGACACGCCTACCTTGCTGGCTGAGAGAACTCAGTTTTCCCCAGAAAGGAGAGAAAGGTACTTTTCTTTCCCCATTTCTAGACTGTCTTTCCTTTGGGTGTTTTGCACAAGAAGACTATGCTGGTCATGCTGAGGAGACGCCTTACAGGATCACGAGCAGGTCCTCGGCTGCTTCCCAAACAGCTCTGACTGGGTTAGCGGGTCAGGGACGAGCCCTGAGGAGCGATTTAGAAACTACCACACCTGGAGGAACTGTCTGAATGTGAGGGGCACAGCCCTCCTGCCATCAGGGTTCTGTCGCTTCTGTGGAAACTGGGGTTTTCCAGTTTTGTGGACCTCATGGACCTGGTACTTCACATTTAGCCCCTTTCTAGACATTTGGGGGAAAATGAAGCATTGTCTTCAATTTCAGAGAATTCAGCACTTTCTGCCAAAGATGGTTGAAAAAACTTAGTAGTAATGCCAGGCCTTGCCTTTTCACACTGTTCATAGGATTCTCGAGGCAAGAATGCTGAAGTGGTTTGCCATTTCCTCCTCCAGTGGAACATGTTTTGTCAGAACTCTCCATGATGACCTGTCTGTCTTGGGTGGCCCTGCATGCCATGGCTCATAGCTTCATTGAATTACATAAGCCCCTTGACTATGACAAGACTGTGATCCATGAGGGGGAGAAGTTTCAATCACCTCAGATATGCAGATGATACCACTCTAATGGCAGGAAGTGAAGAGGAACTAAAGAGTGTCTTGATGAGGGTGAAAGAGGAGGGTGAAAAAGTTGGCTTAAAACTCAGCATTCAAAAAACTAAGATCATGGCATCCAGTCCCATTACTTCATGGCAAATAGATGGGGAAAAAGTGGAAAAAGTGGCAGATTTTCTTTCCTTTGGCTCCAGAATCACTGTGGATGGTGACTGCAACCATGAAATTAAAAGATACTTGCCCCTTGGAAGAAAACCTGTGACAAACCTAGACAGTGTATTAAAAAGCAGAAACATCACTTTGTTGACAGAGGTCCATATAGTGAAAGCTGTGGTTTTTCCAGTAGTCATGTATGGATGTGAAAGTTGGACCATAAAGAATGCTGAATGCCAAAGAATTGATTGTAGTGCTGGAGAACACTCTTGAGAGGCTGTTGGACTGCAAGGAGATCAAACCAGTCCATCCTAAAGGAAATCAACCCTGAATATTCATTGGAAGGATTGATGCTGAAACTCAAACTCTAGTACTTTGGCCACCTAATGTGAAGAGCCAGCTCTTTAGAAAAGACCCTGATGCTGGGAAAGATTGAGGGCAGGAGCCGAAGGGGACAACAGAGGAAGAGCTGGCTGGATGGCATCACTGACTCAATGAACATGAGTTTGAGCAAGCTCTGGGAGATTAATGAAGAACAGGAATGCCTGGTGTGCTGCAGTCCTTGGGGTCACAAAGAGTCACACATGACTTAGCGACTAAACAACAACCACCAGGCCCTAGATAAGAACTTCTTATTGATTTTTCAGACAGTTTTTCAGAAAGAGCAACCCGGAGGAGGGGAGAGGGTGTCCCAGGTGGGAGAAAGGTATGAGCAGGTGTGGAGGATGGCGTGGATGTGGTGGTGTGGATGCGGGCATTGCCCAGGGATCTGGGGGGAGAGGGAGAGGAGAATCAGGGGAGAGGGGCCGGGAGAGAGGGTGGAGGCCAGCTTCTCTAGAGAAGCCCTGGCCCCAGGGGCCAGCACACATGGACTCCCCTTGGGCCTGGCTCCCCACTTTCTTGCTCTGTGACTGGATGGTGGACTGTCCCATTTGGGCCTGGCTCCCTTCTCTTTGAGGCGGTGGCAAGCACTGTACCCCCGGGTGGTCCAAGGATGAGAGGAGGGGCTGTGCTAGTGCCCTCAGGAGGCTCCTGACCCAGGGTGCGGGGCCCTGGGTGTGTGAGGTGCCATCCTGGGAAGGAGGTGGAGCTGGGCAGGGTGCAGACTGCAGACCCCAGGAGAACTGGGCTGTACCTCGGGCCTAAGGAGCGTTTCTGTCTGGAATTCTGCTTTAAAAGGGCTCCTCCACCTTCCTTCTGTTAGCTGATTTTAAAGGCGGTCTCCCCTTTTGTGAACAGTTAGCTCCCTCTGGGCCACCTCAGCCTTTGTTTCTGGGGGGTCACCGCATTCCCCGCCTCCCCACCCCGCATCCCTGCACTGTCCTGTCTGTGTCACCTGTGGGGACCCAGGAATGCAGTGGGCGCCTGCACTCGAGGGACTCACCAGATGGCTGTAGCAACACTTGGCTTCTCCTCGTCCGTTTTTAGATCCTTCTGTCTCAATGGAATGAGAAAGAGTAAAAATAGCCCAAGCAGGCGCTTCAGAGGTATCTTAAATTATTCTCCGCTCATCTTTCTTCCTATGGTGTGAGTATCTTTAGCTTCTGTAGAGGGACAGAGAAAAGAAAAGAAAAGAAAATTCCTGGCAGCCGCGAGTGCTATTTCTACCCAGGGGTACGTTGTATTTCTGCAGAAATAGCTTGGGGGCTGGGAGCCTGTGCTAGTGGAGAGCCAGCTCTTCCGCCTCTCAGTGCATCAGCAGAGGGGGTGCGCCTCCCCTGCGGCAGCCGCATCCCACCCCTGAACTCCCCTACCCCCACCATCGGCTCCTGGAGAAATGGCCCAAGGGATGGGGCTCAGGCCTGTGACAGCCAGGAGCCAGAGGGGCACACCCATGGTGACAGGGCCTCGAGAGGGGACACTTTCTGTGTGGCCACGCTGGTCTGCTGCGTGGGAGTGTCCCCATCCAGCAGCACCTACCTTTGGCCATGTGAGCCTGGCAGGAGTTTGAGGTTGTCTCCCTGTTTTCTCATGAAAATGCTTCCTCCTGTTGTTCAGTGTTGGTGCTTTGGGACAACAGAACCTAGAATATCAACTCAGCAGAGTGAGCGAAGTCCTTTCTGATGAATATGCGTGAGTCCTTCTGTAGGGTGGAGGACGACCGGGTGCGGGGTGGGTCTGTAGTCACCCACAGGCTGACGGGCAGGCCTGGCCTCTGACCCAGGAGTGGGGACAGCCAGTCTGCATTCTGGAGCCCAGGTAAGCCCCCCCTCCCCACACCGCCACCGTCCAGGCTCCTTGGCGTGCATGGCTGTCCATCAGGACAGCGGCCTGTGTTCATTGTCTGGGGGTTTACCTTTCTGCTCCTTCGCTCCTGGGTCACTCCCAGTTGGGGTGGAGCTGGGGGAGACCATGGCTGGGGACTGCCCCCAGCTTCTGTGGTTTTACACACATAGCAGGAGCCACTCAATGCCACTTGGCTTCACTATTCCTTATTCCGGATGAAAGGTTCTATAAAGGATGGAAGAGGAGCGGGCAGTCTACAGTTTCAAGCAGGACAGAGACCGGTTCTGAAGGGGAATATGTCCCGGCGGAGGTCAAGAAAGTGTTCAGGAGCCGTGGGGCATGGTGGGCTTCCTGGAGGAGGGTCTCCTTAGGGGGCAGGGCCGGCTGTGCAGGAAGGGGAGTGGGGGCCCTGGGAGGAGCGAGTCCAGGGAAGGGAGTGAAAGGAAGCCCGTGGGGATAGGAGGGACTGGCTGCACTCACGGGTGGGCTGGCATCCTGTTGTCACTGTGCGGGAGAGTCTTGGCTGTGATCTAAGTCGGTACCCAGTCCAGAGCCTTGACACCCGCCCTACTGAGGCCACCTCGGCCTCCATCCCCTCCTGACCCAGGGTCAGGGGGAGACGGGCCTTCTCAGGCCCAGCTCTGCTCTAGTGCTTCCAGATTCCAGAGGACAGTGGTCCACTTGGGGGGAGTCTGTCCAGCTGTCTAGGTCAGCAGCCCAGAGTCTGCACTGCAGGGGCTGGACAGGAGGGAGGTTGGGCTGGTGGGTGCTCAGAGATGGTGGATGTGGGGGTGGCGGGAAGGGGGGTGACCAGGGTGGGACTGCAGGCCAGGCTGCCTGGGGAGGTGGTGGTGCTGACAGAGAGCAGCTAGTCAGAGAAGGAGCCAGTTTTGTTAAAGGATGAACCTTGCCTCAGACATGCTGCCTCGAGCCCAGGTTGTCACAGGGTGGTCTGGGAGGACAGTCAGTCTTCCAGGGAAGCCCAGGGTGTCTGTGTACAAGGCATGTTGGGGCTCAGTGGGGCGAGAGCAGAGGCGGGGGGCAGGGTGGAGTTGTGGGGAGAAGAGGGACCCTCGATGGAGTCAGGTCCTGCCTCCAAGTGTCTTGGGGTTCAGAGAAGATGAGACCCCCAAATGGTCCCAGATGGTTTTTTTTCTTTCAGATGTGGGGTCACTGAAATTCAGGGAGACCCAAGAAAGGAGAGGGAGAGGAAACCAGTACGTGAGCCGTGGGCAAAGGCGGGTGTTGGAACCTTCAGGAGAATGCTTTGTCCTCTTGGTACTGTCTCCTGACATCTCGGGGTCCCGGGGCCCCTGGTGGTGATGAAGGCCTCCACTCAGGTATTCCTCACCAAAAGCAGACTTGATGAGGTTTAGAGGTAGCCTCAACTTTGCCCCAGATGGACAGGGCCGGGCTCAGCATCATCTGGGATCAGGGGTTAGGTACTGGAAACAATGGGAGGAGAAAGCCCCCGAGTCAGCAGAGCCCTGCCTCAGCCATAGCTGGGCCGCTGGTAACAGAGGTGAGGGCTGCTCTGCCTTTGCTCTGTGGCGGGTGGTAACCAGGGCGGGGGCGGGGCAGGGAGCCCTCCCTGGGCTGCGGTGCCAGAGTGGGACCCACCGGGGCTGCTGGGCTGACGCCTGGGCTTGGGTTTCGGGGGTGGGGCCTCCGGCGGGCGGGTTGGCTGGCAGCCCAGGTTCTGGAACGCGCTCTCTGCCTGGTGGGCCCACAGCTTGGCATCAGGTTCCTCCAGGACTGCAGGGAACAAAAGGCAAGTGGCTCCAGGGCTAATTAGCTGGTGAAAGCCCTGGGGTGGGGGCCGGGGGCCCAGGCGTGCTCCCCTGCTTCTGGGGAGCCTCCTTGAACACTCTTGGGGTGGGGGTCCCGCAGGCCAAATGGTGCAGCTAGGATCAGAGTCGGGGGAGGACATGCGACTCGGCCCATGGGGTGGGCAGTGGTGACCTGGGTCCAGGAGAGGGCCCTGGGCGCTCGTCTTACTGTCCTGGCTCCTGACCTGCGGGGTCACAGGGGTGTGTGCAGAGACACCCTCCCACCCCGCACCAGTGGCCAGCCGCACTTGGGCTGAGGCCTGGCCGTGACTTCATGTCTTGTGGGAGAGAGGCTCTGTGCGTGCCGTGTGCTGTCCTGTGTTTAATGTTCCCGTGGGGGCGGGCTGAAACGAGGGCCAGGCTGTGGAAGGCTGCAGGGCTCCTGGGACACCAGCCAAATTCTTGGGGGAACGTGTGTCTGGATTTAGTGGAGTCTTAGGTTCGAGAGAGTCAAAAGGTCTTAAATATTTGGTGGGAAAAATAAGAGTGATATTTCATTCAAAATCGTCCAACTCAGGGCAACTCAGATTTACATGATTAAGAACGCTGTTTATTTAACAAAAGTATTTACAACTGGAATCTTCTAATAAGTCTTTCTCAAAAGCTGTGAAACCCAAGAAGGTGTTTAACTTACAGCTTTTAAGGTGTTCATCTCATTTAGAGAGAAAGGCCTCCCTTCTTCTGGTTGGGGTCCCTGGGAGAAGCTCTCAAAGTGGATAAAGGGACGACGTGTTTGCTAATCAGGTTTTAACACAAAACCCAACTCTCTCCTGGGCACAGCTCCCTTGCACCTGTTCCCAATTCAGTATTTCCTCTCTCAGCAGCTCCCTCAAGATTCAAGATGTAGGACCAACTCTAGAGGCCTCCGTAGGGCTTCATGGAGGAAATAGATGTTGAAGATATTCTCCTCAAAAGTTCTTCAGAACTGCTCCCAAATTGGTTGAAGGTGATGATTGTTTTTCTAAAAGGATGAAAGAATCATTGCTTATTCGTGCATCTGGGAAGGTTTGCTGGTGGCAGAACCTGGCTGTTCAGGGTGGTCGTGGAGCAGCCCCTGGCCTGGGAGGGTCTCCGGCCTCCCCTGCCAGACCCTGCCCCTGCCTTTTGACTGGCCCCCGGGGGCGTGTCAGGACAGAACCTGGGAACAAGCAGGCACCGCTGAGTGGAGAGTCTGAGGCTCCCTTTGTTCTGTCGTGAGTCTTCTCCACACACCCCCAACTCCGTCTCCTCGGCTGCTAATCCACACCGAGGTCCTGGACCACCCTTGGGACACCTCGAGTTTTCTCTGTGAAGCGTGTGAGGTGATTTGACAGCTGGAGACCTTCCTGTTAACAGCCATTATAATAAAACATTCCCTCAAACCAAATTCGACAATTATTAACATGTTTAAACAGAAAACGATGTTTACTAAGGCATTCTTCCTGAGCTTAACATATCCTGTGAGGAGGGCGGGGTGGGGGAGTGGGGTAAGTGGGAACCGCGGCTCTAACTGTGGTTCAAGGTAAAGTCAGAGCCACTGCTTTTGGTGAGCAGCGCAGAGACCCTTTGACACGTGCCGTGGGTAGTGACAGCTGTCTCACTGGAGGGACTCAGATCCCAAACTCCCCCACACTTTGCCCCTGCCCTGCGGCTCTGGCAGGGCACCTCTGCTCAGGAGGCGAGACCCGGGGACAGGCAAGAGGGGCAGGGCCCAGGGGCAGGCCCCAATCTGCTGCCCCCAGGGCGCCCCGGTGCCCACAGAGCCAGGGCGGTGCTTGCTCACTGCCTCATAATAGTGGTTTAACTTGTGTGGGGCTCAGACGTTTGAATTATTAAGGCTGTGAGCCTTCCTGGTGAGGTTGGGGTGCTGTGCCTGGTGAGGTGAGCCCTGCTTTCCTCGTCCTGAGGTGCACATGCCGAGGGCCAGGCCTCCTAGCCCCCACGGAGTCTCTCAGCAGCTGGAGGGGTGGGGCGTGGGCCCGGGCTGCTGTGCTAGGCGAGGAAGTGACAGACCGCGTCTCACCTCCAGGGCTCACAGGCCAACGACCTCCACACGTTTACACACCAGTGCCACTATTTACTTCTTTAACAAAAGAAAAAGAAGCGTGTGTAGATGCGGCATGGGGGTGCAGAAGAAGGGGGCACCCCCCTTCCTGAGACCGCAAGTCGCGGCCCTGTCTGAGGATAGTCTCTGGGCGACACGTGTTCACCCTGTGCCGGGTCCCGGTCTAAAGGCTGTACATGGGCCTGTTCACTTAATCTCCACACCAGCAGGTGTATCACACTGCTTTGCAGTGAGGAAGCTGAGGCCTGCGAGGTGTTGACTTGTGTGGCTAGCATGCAGTGGGGGTGGGGGCAGGGGTGACAGGCAGGTGGAGCAGCTCAGAATGGGGTGCTCACCGGGGAAGGGGCGCGCCCCAGGAGGAAGGAATGGTCCGTGTGCAGCCCGGGGTGAGGGCGCTGGACACGCCTGCCTCCAGGGCGGCCTCTTCACGGGGCTTTTGCAGGACGGCCCAGGGCGGGCTCCTGATGTCAGGCCTGGGGGAGTGCACTGCTCCTCTGGGTGATGGCTATGGAAGGATTTTGAGCACAGAGGTGAAAGAGACAGAACATGACATCTCACACTTCACAGCGCAGCACTCAGCATGGAGCGCCTCCCATCGCCGCCCCCACCACCAGAACTTCTATCCCTTCCCAAACTGGCACTCTGACCCCATGAGACAGGAGTTCCCCACGTGCCTCTCCCCAGACAGTTCTATGCGCCTGCCTGCTCTAGAGGCCTCGTGTAAAGTGGAATCATACCGTGTGTGTCATTTTGTGTCTGGCTCAGTCCACATGTCGTGATGTCTCCATGTTCGTGCGTGTCATAGCTGCTGGCAGAATCACCTTTCTTTCTAAGACTGAGTGATGTTCCGCCTTTGTCTCTCTGTGGACGCTTGGTTGCTTCCACCACCTTGCTGCTGCGAGTTGAGGGACTTTAGGTTGGCAAGTAATGTGTCAGGTCTACATTTGCCAGGCACAGAGGTGCCAAGTAGACAGAGCCGAGGCCACATCTGTCTCACATTCCCTGCTCTGAGCGACTCTGCAGGAATGTCTGTCAAAGGTAGAGAGTAATCTTATATCTTAGAATTGAAGTAAGGGATTAAATGGGAAAGGAATGAGATAAAATGATGTATGAGGAAACACATACAAGCCGTAATGCATGGCATGAATACCGGCTCTCAGCCTCATTGTTGTCTCTGTGTTTCTCGGCACACTGCTTCTGAACTCAGAATCCAGTCATTACGACAGCTTCATTATGACATAGTTCCCTCCTCACGACATAGTTCCCTCCTCACAGCTCTGCAAACCCAGATTTCCTGCAGGCATCTCCATGCTCAGGTGAGTGTATGTGAGATGTCTGAAGTTCACTTTGCACAGACAAAGCTCTTTTTCCAGTGTAAAGGCACCCATGTATTTCAGGTGACTCTGTGTCCTAGCTTACCTTAGGATTGTGCTTGAGTGGAGAAAGATTGGAATCTCTGACCACATTAAAATACTTCATTATGAAAAACTTAAGACACAGAGCCGGGGAGTGAAGAGGAGTGTGCTCACTCGTGAGTCTGTCAACTGACTCCACAGCGACTATGCTCTGCCACTTTGCCCGCGCTGTCCTTTTATACAGCTAAAGAAATACTTGGAACGATATTCCGTTTTACTCCTGCCTGCTCCAGTCTGCATCTCTAAGAACTATGGACATTTCTTAGGTGACATGAGGCCAGTGTTAGAATTAGTAATACTGATTTACTTGTACAACTAAATTACCCTGATTGGCTTAAAATTGTTCTCCGATGCTTGGTTGTTCCCATGGGCCTGTGGGTCCTGGCTCAGCAGGCTGTGACAAATCAGGAGAGCCGGGCTGGCATGAACGGCAGACAGCCGCTTCTCACAGCTCTGGAGGCTGGGAGGTCCACGGTCAAGGTGCTGACCGATTAGGGATCTAGTGAGACCGTTCCCCTGGCTGGTAGACGGCTGCCTTCTTGCCGTGGCCTCACGTGACAGAGAGAGGGCTCTGGTCCCCAGCTCGTCTTATAAGGGCACCAGTGCCATCACGGAGCCCTGCCCTCATCATCTCATCCAAACCCAGCTGCCTACCGAAGATCTGCCTCCAAATGCCGTGACCCTGGGGATTGGGGTTCAGCTCGTGAAGGTGGCGGGGACACACACATCCAGCCCGGAGCACCCACACCCTCTCACACACTGCACTTGTTCATAACATCCCTTGGGTCTTTGCACACAGAGTAGACCACGCCCCTTACGAAATCCTGCAGAACCTGGGCCGGCTGCCCCAGTGTCCCCTGTTCTGACCTTGTCCTCTGGCTCCATGTTCAGCCCTTGAACTCACCCTCTCACTGCTGTGTTCCCTGCAGGTGGAGGTTGGCTCTGGAGGGCCAGTTTTGTTCAGGCTCACCGTGTGTGGCAGGAATGCATCCCAGGTGCTCTGCTCACCTGTGCCCAGAGCCCCGACACCTGCTCGTCCCAGCTCACTGCTGCTGAGGGTCATGGTGGGCTCTGAGTTGTCTTTCAAATACGCCATCAAAATTATGGTTCTTCTTATTCAGAATTGAGACAATTAACTGTAAAAAGTTTACAACATATCGATAAGCAAAAAAAATAAAATCATCTTAACATCCTAGCCCTTGATAGCTGCCATTGAAGTTTTGATGTGGAATCTTCTAGTATTTATTCACCTTGTGTATAATTACATTGTAACCACATCTTCCCACTTACTGTGAATAGCTTTTGATGTCATGAAATATTCTTTTACTGTGTCATTCGCTGTCTAGTCCTTGAATACTAGAATCACTATTTAATTAACACACCACTTTTGTACAAGTTGTGAACATCGCAAATCCCCTGTCCAGAATGCTCATTTGGATTTGGGCTCAAAGCTCTTGGAGAGGACGGACCACTGCCTGTCTGCTTCCCGGAATGACTGCTGTCTCTTCTGGGGCAAGGTGAGGTGGGGGGATGTGGAGGGTTGGGGTGATGGGGGGACATGGAGGGTTGGGGTGATGGGGGATGTGGAGGCTTGGGATGATGGGGGGACTTGGAGGGTTGGGGTGATGGGGGACGTGGAAGCTTTGGATGATGGGGGATGTGGAGGGTTGGAATGATGGGGGCACATGGAGGGTTGGGGTGATAGGGTAGGGTGGGGGGTGCCATGGGGGGAGGGCTGTAGACTGGGTGCCCTCTGAAAGCTTTCTGAGGTGCTGAGAACAATTTTGTGTCTTGCCTGACATGCTGCTGGTCCTGGTGTTGGGACCTGCCCCACAGTGACGCCGATTACCTGTACTCAGCCCTATACTCAGCCCTGTACTCACTCCCACAGTGTCTCCTGGGAGCTTCTCGGAGCTGCAGGCTCTCCCGGATGGGCTCAACCAGAACTTGCACTTTAACCAGATGCCCCAGGGATGAAGTGGAAGAGTCACTTCCTAAAGCACTTTTACCCAATTATCGCCTAGAAATGCTGGTCTATTTGTGAAAAGAGATTCACGTGGGAGGAGCGTGTTAAGTTCAGCTGAGGGTGGAGAAGTGCTTGGTAGGCAGCCCCCAGGCTGTCTCTTCCTGGATGCAGAGGGCCAGTCCGGTCGGGGCTGGCTTCTGCAGTTCAGGAGAAGCTTAGCACCTGAGTGGCTTTGGTGAGTTAAAAGCGGTCTTGGTTTCCTCCTCGGTGTGATAGAGACTATATTATTTCACAGGTATGGTGCAAGGTATAAGTGAGGCAGGAGCACAGTGCCTGGCACGATATAAGTGCTCAGTCAGCTGGGCTGGCGATCACAAATGCATGATAAGGTGGTGTTGAGAGCGAAGGTTAACTGGTGAACATTGCTTTGGGGAATCCCAGGATGTCGAACTCTTTTCCTCCTACCTTTTCAGCCACCGATCAGTTTTAATAGCTGGTTCCATGCAGAGAACGCGACAAAAACCGTTTTGGATTAAACACATCCATGTTAAGCTCAGAGCAGCCACACACTATGTACCATATGCTGTCTTATTCTTTAACCAAATGAGGGGGAAAAAAAGCAACAGCCCACTTCCCCTCACTCTTTTTAAAAAGGTCTTTCTCTTCAGTATAGGCTGAGGCTTGAATGTGTTTTGATTCTGGAGAGATTGTGTTTACCAAGTATTGATACCTTCATCTTTAAGAAGATCTGGCTAGTTCAGTTCTGTTTCGTTCCCAAGGGAGTGCCCATGGGGTATACCCTTGACTGTTTTCTGAAGTCAGTGAGATGGAACCACTACCAGATGCAGTGTGAACTTTTCCAGCCCCTAACATAAATACTTGTGAACGAAGCTCAGTGGCACGAAGACCACAGTTAGGGTTAATACACAATGGCGAGTTTCTTACCAATGGACCTCCTGACAGTCAGATGTTGGATTCTTGAGTCAGGTGCCCACTCACGTGGGCAGTGCTCTCTGGGGGGCGCTATTTGGCTCTGGTGAGAGGAATCTGTGAACACGCTTACCTGCATGAATATGCAGTCATGTGTCACTGTGTCCTGGTTATTTTGCATCTCTTTAGTTTTCTGCGCTTCCCAGCTCATACTTCAAACTCATCTTCTTACAGCAACGTTCCAACTCCTTCCTGTGCCATGACTCTTCCCTCCCCTGAAGGAAAGACAGCCCCGTGCTGCTGACTTAAACCCCTGGCTTGGTGACTGTCAGGGCTGCACAGGTGTCCTGATCACAGACCACAGACAGCTTCTTGTTTCCTATGGAGGCATCTGTTGCTCCTCCACCCACTTATCCTTTGAGTGACTATATTTTCAAAATCAGTTTGTGATCTTAATTGTCCCAGCTTGTAGATTCTTAGGAATAGCTTTCTCAGACCTCATGAAACAACTGAGGAAGCTGCAGGGCAGCCTTTTCCTGAAGCTGAGTCAGTGCAGCGAGGGGAGGGCTTCTGCCTGCCTGCGAGGAGGCCCCGTCATTGTCTGACTGGTCACTTGGTCTGAGGACCTGGAAGGGGGAATTTTTTTTTGTAAACATCAGTTCAGTTCAGTTCAGTTCAGTCACTCAGTCATGTCCGACTCTTTGTGACCTCATGGACTGCAGCACGCCAGACCTCCATGTCCATCACCACTCCTGGAGCTTGCTCAAACTCATGTCCACTGAGTTGGTGATGCCATCCAACCATCTCATCCTCTGTCATCCCCTTCTCCTCCTGCCCTCAATCTTTCCCAGCATCAGGGTCTTTTCTAATGAGTCAGTTCTTCGCATCAGGTAGCCAAAGTATTGGGGTTTCAGCTTCAGCATCTGTCCTTCCAATGAATATTCAGGACTGATTTCCTTTAGGAGGACTGGTATCAATTCTTTGGCGCTCAGCTTTCTCTATAGTCCAACTCTCACATCCATACATGACTACTGGACAAACCATAGCTTTGAGTAGATGGACCTTTATTGGTAAAGTAATGTCTCTGCTCTTTAATATGCTGTCTAGGTTTGTCATAGCTTTTCTTCCAAGGAGCAAGCATCTTTTAATATCATGGCTGCAGTCTGTCTAGTCTGGATGTGAGAGTTGGACTATAAAGAAAGCTGAGCGCTGAAGAATTGATGCTTTTGAACTGTGGTGTTGGAGAAGACTCTTGACAGTCCCTTGGACTGCAAGGAGATCCAACCAGTCCATCCTAAAGGAAATCAGTCCTGAATATTCATTGGAAGGACTGAAGCTGAAGCTGAAACTCCAATACTTTGGCCACCTGATGCGAAGAGCTGACTCATTGGAAAAGACCCTGATGTTGGGAAAGATTGAGGGCAGGAGGAGAAGGGGATGACAGAGGATGAGATGGTTGGATGGCATCACCGACTCAATGGACATGGGTTTGGGTGAACTCCAGGAGTTGGTTTTGGACAGGGAGGCCTGGAGTGCTGCGGTTTTTGGGGTCACAAAGAGTCAGACTTGACTGAGTGACTGAACTGAACTGAACTGGAGTCACCATCTGCAGTGATTTTGGGGCCCCCCCAAAATAAAGTCTCTCACTCTTTCCATTGTTTCCCCATCTATTTGCCATGAGGTGATGGGACTAGATGCCGTGATCTTAGTTTTGTAAATATTGCTCAGCTGCAAAAATTTTTGTTTGGGGCATTTATAATGAAAGCCATGAGCTGGGGAATGTCACCATTCTACTGTTAGACAAACAGGATGACTCCAGCTACACTGACGTTCCATTGCTTGTTAGTAATAATGCCGTGCAAATGTGGTTCACCCAAAGGCTGTTTGTACCTGGGGCTCCTTTTTAAAGATTGTGGTAAAACATGAAATTGTACATAGCATGAAATTTACCATTTTAATCATTCTGAAGTGTATAGTCAGTGGCGTTGAGCACATGCACATTGTTGTGCACCCATCCCCACCCTAGTCTCCAGAACTCTTTTATCTTTCTCACGAGAACCTCTGTCTCCACTGAACACTGCCTCCCTGTCCACTCCACCCTCCTGCCCGTGGTGACCACTGTCCTACTCTCTGTCTCTATGAATTTGACTTTCAGGTGCTTTATCCATGTGGAATCACCCAGTATTCATCCTTTGTGACTGGCTCATTCCACGTAGCATCGTGTCTTCACGGCTCGTCCCTGGTGTGGCCTGTGTCAGGGTTGTCCCTGTCTCTCTAGGGTTGAGCAGCATTCCACCCTGTGTTTATATCGCATCTTGTTTGTTCATTGGCCCATGGGCACTTGGGTTGCTTCTACTGTTTGGCTTTTGTGAATAATGCTGCTGTGAACTTGTTTGTGCAGGTATTTGTTTGAATCTCTGCTTTCACTTCTTTTGAATATACACCCAGAGGTGGGTTTTCTGGATTATACAGTAATTCTATTCTATTTCTGAGCAACCTCCATACTGTTTTCTACAGGGCTGTACCATTTTATATTCCCACCAGCAGTGCACAAGTGTTCCAGTCTCTTCACATCCTTAATAACTCTTGTTTTCTGCGTTTTTTCTTTAACAGTAGCCATCCTAGTGAGTGTAAAGTTGTATCTCATTGTGGTTTTGATTTGCATTTACCTAAAGACCAGTGAGGTTGAGCATCTTTTCATGAGCTTACTGTCCATTTGCATATATTCTGAATATGTCCTTTGCCCATTTTGGAATCAGGTTGTTGTTGTTAGTTGCTGTTTTGGACCTGAGAGAGTGAGAGCAACTCCATCAGTTTGCCACCCCGCATCTCCTAACCTTTGTGAGTGCGGTGTGGTCTCAAACAGGTACTAAGTTCTGTTCTGGTGGCAGCACCATGTAACAGGACTTGGTATTTTCTGGTAGACCAGTTACTTGGGCTTTACTAAACAGTGTTACAGGGCTGCAAAGCAGATTGTAGGAAGCCAGGGGGGCCAATGGATGCCCCCACAAATCAGCATGGAAATCTCTCTGATCAGAAAATCCCCTCTTCCTGGTGTACCAGCCCTCTGGTCCTCTCTTCAGTCTTCAGAGCTCGTCTAAGTACTGGGAAGAAAGTCGCCCCTGGAACAAAAACATACTTTGGCACTTAGGGCCTTTCCAGATAAA